AGACAGCCTTCGCTCCAACCCCTCTTGAAGGAAGGAAAGCACGACGTTGATCGAACATCTCCGGGGGTCTTCTCGGTGAGAAGAGCACCAGTTGACGAAGAGGTTCCACTTCAACGCATAGAGGTGTCTCGTGGACGACGCTCTAGCGGAAGTGATGGTAGCCGCCACCGCTGGTGGCAGGGTACTCAAACCTGCCTCGTCCCGTCCAGGAGCCATACGTGGAGGTTCCAAAGATCGGGACGAGGGTGCCATAGGGTGCCCCGTCCCTGAGAAAGTAGGTCCTTCCTCAGAGGTATGGGCCAAGGAGGTGCTGTCGCGAGGAGTACAAGTTCGGAGAACCAGGTCCGGGTGGGCCAGTACGGCGCGACCAGAGTGACCTGCTCCTCGTCCTCCCTGACCTTGCGCAGGAGTTGCGCAAGAAGGCTCACTGGGGGAAACGCATATTTGCGGCCCCGCGGCCAGCTGTGTGCCAGAGCATCCGTGCCGAGCGTGCCCTCGGTCAGGGAATAATACTGGGCGCAATGGGTCGAGTCGTGAGAGGCAAACAGATCCATCTGTGCGTCCCCGAACTGGTCCCAAATCAGCTGAACCGTCTGGGGATGGAGTCGCCAATCTCCGGGGAGGGGCTGAAGCCGTGACAGCTCGTCGGCTGCACAGTTCAGGGCTCCAGGGATGAAAATGGCTCGAAGCGACCTCAGATGCTTCTGACTCCATAAGAGGAGGTGGCGGGCGAGTTGTGACATACGGCGGGAGCGCAGACCACCTTGGCGGTTGATGTACGCTACGGTCGCGGTATTGTCTGATCGGACTAGTACATGCTGGCCCGAGAGCACGGCTCGGAAGCGGCGCAGGGCGAGCTGTACAGCCAGCAACTCGAGGCAATTGATGTGCCATAAGCGGTGGGGTCCTGTCCAGGAGCCCGCGGCAGCACGTCCATTGCACATGGCACCCCAGCCCGTGGTGGAGGCATCTGTCGTTACAACAACATGCCGGGAAGCTCGTTCCAGAGGCACTCCTGCCCGTAGAAAGCTGAGGTTCCCCCACGGGGTGAAGGTCTGACGGCAGGTCGGAGTAACTGGTACTCGGAGGGTGCCGTGTTGCCATGCCCACCTCGGGACTCGGTCGCGAAGCCAAAGCTGAAGCGGTCTCATATGAAGCAATCCGAGCGGCGTTGCCGCGGCTGCAGATGCCATATGCCCCAGGAGCCTCTGAAAAAGTTTCAGTGGAACCGCACTCTTGCCCTCGAACTGTCTCAGGCAAGTCAGCAGTGACTGCGCGCGCTCGCTCGTAAGCTGCGCGGACATGGCGACCGAGTCGATCTCCATACCGAGAAAAGAGATCCTCTGCGCGGGGCAAAGTTTGCTCTTCTCCCAGTTGACCCGAAGGCCCAAACGGGCTACATGGCGGAGTACCAAATCCCTGTGTTCGCAAAGCTGATCTCGAGAGTGAGCTAGAATCAGCCAGTCGTCGAGATAGTTCAGAATGCGAACCCCGTGTTCCCGGAGGGGAACAAGGGCTGCCTCGACGACCTTCGTGAAGACGCGAGGAGACAGGGCTAGCCCGAATGGGAGAACTGCGTACTGATATGCCTGTCCCTCGAAAGCAAACCGTAGGAACGGTCTGTGTCGAGGGAGAATGGAGACATGAAAGTAGGCGTCCTTCAGGTCGATCGCTGCAAACCAATCCTGGTGCCGCACACATTCGAAAACGCGTTTGGCGGTGAGCATCTTGAACGGCAGCCTGTGAAGGGAGCGGTTCAATACGCGCAGGTCCAGGATTGGCCGTAACCCACCGGTTTTCTTCGGGACAATGAAGTAGGGGCTGTAAAACCCGGACCTCATTTCGGCTGGAGGGACAGTCTCGATCGCACCCTTCGCCAGCAGGGTAGCAACCTCCGCTCTCATGATAGGGGCATTGCCACCGACCATAGTGGAGCGGACTCCCCTGAAGCGGGGAGGAGACCGCGCGAACTGAATCGCGTAGCCGAGCCTGATCGTTCGTGCGACCCAGCGGGACAGGTTGGGAAGCTCTAGCCAAGCTCCCAAGGACTGAACCAGCGGGGTCATGCGAACCACAGACTTCCCGTCGGTGGGGCAGCGAGGCGGTATGACTGACCCAGACGTGGACGGCATAGCGGCCCGGTGTGGGGGTACAGTCATAGACCGCGTCCTGACAGAGCAGACCAGGGAAGGACGAACGTTCCACGGGGGTCTGCTCTGCCAGGGGTCTGGCGACAGAGGAGGATGAGAGCGGCACGGTCCGGGGACGGCGCGCACTGTCATCCGGCTCTGGGACAGAGGAGGACGAGGGGTGCACGGCCCGGGGGCGGCGCACCGTGTCGTCCAAGAACTCTGTGTGCTCAGGGATGAACGTGTTATTTCTTCTTTAACCACATTAGGGTACTGCCCACCCGTGGGTGAGCAGCGGGGAGTGGAGAACAAAAGATTCTCCCCCGGCCCTCCACCGGGGGAAGGAGTGGTCCTGCAACCATCTCCTGAGAAAAACACGTCATCCCTGAGCAGCCCGTCTCAGGAGCGCCGCTTGGCCCGGCGTTTAGCGGGGGGCGGGGCTGGAGAGGGCTGGGGCGCCTTCTTGCGACTTCCTCCGCGACCGGGCCCGGGTGGAGGCTGCTGCTTGGGCCGGGCGGGAGGGGCGGGAGTCGCAGGAGGGCGCCCTCGGCGGCGAACAGACTGAGTATTCTGCCCGGTCGGCTGGGTGGAGGCAGCAGCGGGCCGTCGGGGCAGAATGTGCTTGATCGCCTCAGTCTGTTTCTGAGCAGTCGAGAACTGTTGGGCAAAGTCCTCGACTGCACCGCCGAAAAGGCCATCTTGCGATATGGGGGTGTCGAGCAGCCGGGACCGCTCGGCATCCTTCATATCGGCAAGATTGAGCCATAGATGTCTCTCCTGGACCACGGCTGTGGACATCACCAAACCCAGGGAGCGTGCGGTCACCTTCGTCGCTCGGAGAGCAAGGTCGGTGGCGGCGCGCAGCTCATTGAAGAGCCCTGGGTCTGTCCTACCCTCGTGCATGTCCCTGAGCATCTGGGCCTGGTAGACCTGCAGAATGGCCATGGCATGCAAAGAGGTGGCTGCCTGTCCCGCAGCTCTGTAGGACTTCGCCACTAACGTAGACGAGTACCTACAGGCTTTGGATGGGTGCTTTGGCTCACCACGAGACGAAGCGCTCTGAGGACACAGTTGCATCGCAACAGAGCGTTCGACCGGGGGAAGCCCAGTGTACCCACGGGCAGCGGCCTCATCGAGGGGAGGAAAGGCGGATGAAATCATCGAGCGGTCGCGGGAAGACATGGGAGTCTTCCAGGACTTCGAGATTTCATCATGCACGTCCGGGAAGAAAGGTATCGGGGCCTGACGGGGACGGGGATCCGCAGCCTGACCCAAATACCAATCATCCAGCCGCGAGCGCTCGGGGCAGGGCGGAGGGTTCCACTCTAACCCGATGCTCGCGGCGGCTCGAGACAGCATGGCCGTCATCTCTGGATCTGACTCTGGCACAACTGTAGTCACACCCGAAGGCGGCAGCTGTGATGAGTCTTCACTTCCAGCAGACTCAGACCCACCTTGTGATGCTGCAATAGACATGGCATCTTCCTCTGGAGCGCCAAAGGAAACCCGCGGGACACCCGAAGATGATCTCGCCGGAATCCCCTGAACACTCACGGGTTGCAGCATTGGAGAGGGTGCGGCTGGGCACGGACTGATAGTCGGCGCTTGGTTCCAAACCGTCACCCTCAGATCACCCTGGCCACCAGCCGAAGTACTAGCTCTATTTCTAGAGTCAGTAGATCGGGGTGTGGATGAGGGGACCCTCACTCTTGCGAGATCACCGAGTCTTGACCGTAATGCTGCGATGGTCATGTTCCCACAGAGAGAACATGAGTCATCCACGAGTGCTGCTCTAGCGTGATCAATGCCCAAACACACTATGCAGCACCCGTGCCCATCAGAGTCGTCAACCAGCCTACCGCAACCAGAAGTGCACGGGCGAGGCATCTTTAAAAAGACGTGCCACGTGCAAGCTCTTTTGTGAGAAAAAGAAACCTGATTGTGTTGAAGCGCTCGGGGAGAACACACTCGCTGTCGAACCACAGACAGATAAGCAGGAAGTGCGCGCTCGCCGAAGATCGCCGTCACACCAACACCAGAGAATCTTGCTCGTTTGAAGAACTGACAATTTCAGGAATGGCTTGTGGAACGAAGGATTAACTTGGCTCCAAAGCGAAAACATGCCGGTCTGCTGCCAGCGTTCTCCTTATATACTCACGAGGTGAGGCGGAGTTACGCTATGCAAATTCCGCAGACCCATGGCATTTCTTTGCCATTGGCTCGTTTTGAAGTATTTGAAGTTGATTGGCTTCTAAGCGAAACCCCCATTCGTCGTCATCCGACGGAACTCGGAGTGACAACGAAAGGGAACCAAAAACGTTTAGAGCAGTTTAATGGCATTTTATGCCATCTTAAAATCAAGAAAATAACCAACTCTATTTTTAATGTCTATTTTTCAGTATGTTTAACATTTTATAGATTTTATTATTTTCTAACTACAGCAAATGATTATTGTACAATCAGGAAATAATATAGTTAACATTGGTTAAGTAAATTACATGAATATGTCTTATTCAAGCAGGTTTTGCAAAGCAGTTATCCAGTGAGAAAAAATAAAAATAATTATCGACCCTAAATTAGGTCAGTCACCTTCATATATATATATATATATAGTTAGAGACCAATCAAAAGAGCTGTGAAAAATAATCAAATAATCTAGGAATAAATGACATAAATGCCCTTAGATCGTAATCTTACAGCAGTTGTCATTCACATTTTTACTATTAACAAGAGGATCTGATAGTATTTGATAAACAGATCTCACTTGTTTTCTGTTATTAAATCAGGGTTCACTTGAAAATTCACATTTATCCTCCAGAACTCATTCTAACAACTTATGTTTTAATGTTTCAGACCCGATGAAAGTGAAAATGCAAAGACAAGAACTGAAGTTAAAGGTGATGATGCTGTAGTTTGTTTCAGCCTGTTGACACCAATAAAACGATTTAATGTGCCAATTTACAGAAGATCTCAGACATCACCATAATGAATGAGCTGAAAACAGGGAACTTTTGGAGACAGAGGTTTTTCAGCTGCTCAGTTTAACATGATGGCCCTGTACTTTTTAAATGCAGATTGGATAAAAACACAGTGATCACAGTTCACACCTGCAGTGAAGCCCCTCCCACAACAATTCACCAATAAATACTGGGAATATTCCCATCATCCTACAAGAGAAGGACAAACTCCAGGAGTAGCAGCTGAAATCTGTGTGACTGTTAAAGATGGAGTTTATTAAAGAGGAGATTGAAGACATGAGTGATCCAGAACCATCCAGAATAAAACATGAAGATACTGAGGAACAAATAGGTTGGTGTCCATTCTTGATTCTTCATTGTTGATGCTTTGGTAGTTGTGAATTATCTAGCATATGGACGATAATAAGCAGAATATGGATGATAGAGAAATGCATCCAAATTATCATAACCTTGTTATTGTTAAAAATTATAACCTATGTGACATATTTTTACTATATTAAAAATTTAATGACAAAACAAAAAGTGAAATATCTGATATCTGATGCTTTCTGCTATTAAATAAGGGTTCACTTGAACTGATTCTAACTGTATTTCTGTGTATTCTAGACCAGGTGAGAGTGAAAGAGCAAAGACAAGAACTGAATGAAGTGGAGGAGGAACATCGTAACTTTACAATTCAAAGAAGAAAAGCCAAAAAGACGCACACCTGCACTCAGTGTGGAAAGAGTTTCTCACAGAAAGGACACCTTAACAGACACACGAGAATTCACACTGGAGAGAAACCGTATACATGCACTCAGTGTGGAAAGAGTTTCTCACATAAAGGAGACCTTTACAGACACATGAGAATTCACACTGGAGAGAAACCGTATACATGCACTCAGTGTGGAAAGAGTTTTTCTCAAGCATCAACTCTCAGTGTTCATCTGCGCATTCACTCTGGAGAAAAGCCATTTAACTGTGATCAGTGTGGTAAAGATTTTATTTCATCATCAGATCTAAAACAACACCTGAAAGTTCATTCAGATGAGAAGCCTTATGTGTGTTCTCTCTGTGGAAAGAGTTTTTCACGTCTGGACAGTTTTAAACAGCACCAGAAAACACATAATGGAGTGAGAGATTATATGTGCTTTGACTGTGGGAAGAGCTTTACTGCATCTGTGAATCTGAAACAGCACCAAAGAACTCATACTGGAGAAAAACCTTACAAGTGCTCATATTGTGACAAGAGTTTCGTTCATTCTGGAAACCTGAAATCACACGAGCGAGTTCATACTGGAGAGAAGCCGTACTACTGTACTCAGTGTGGGAAGAGTTTCACCCAATCAAGTAATCTAGTGACTCATATTAGAAAGCATTGTTCTGTGTCACAGTGAGCAAATGTTTTGTTAGATTCACATAAAGTAAATGTGTAGTTAGTTAACTAATAAACTAGTGTTGCTGTGAATGCCACAAGATTTGTGTTTAGGCTATATGTTGGAGAACAAGAATATTGTGGAAAATTATTTTGATTAAGGCTGTAACGATTCCTCGATTAAAGTCGAGTACTCGATTCTAAAAAATCCTCGATTACAATTTATCATTGTCAAGTAACCGGCAAAATACCGGAAGTGGCGCATCCACAGACAATCCACGAACCGCATTATTATTACACCGTTTTCTGAGGCTACGCGATCTATTTAAAACCATTTACAATCATGATATAGCATAGTGCTGTCATGAAATCACAAAGGCTGCAAATCAGTTAAAAGATATGCGTTCTTTTCCCCCACAGAGAAGCACGAACCTTTAATTATTTACATGTGTACAGATTGTGTTAAAAGTACCTCAGCTCCGTTCACAGTAAACGCTGCTCCACACATTCTCAGTGTCTGCATTTGCTGGAACGCAAAACCTCTGACGCGTGTTTAATTGCACTGTGATCATTTATATGCGTGACAGCTTCTCGGGTTTCTCAAACTCCATCTCTGCATGCGGTGAGTGTGTGGCTTATAACGTTCTTTCTGCACGCAGTGTGCGCCGATTCACAAGATTCGTAGCGCAACCACTGATCTATATAATGACTGGATAGCTCATGACGTTCTAAACTGCCACCAAGCAGTGAAGCCACCGGAAGTGTTCGAGCGGCCATCTTACGATTCCCTACCAGCAGAGGGCTCCAACGGCCGTTATACGGAGATCGGTAGCTCCAACGGCACTTTTAAGATGACCCGCTGTGCATCAACAAGTGTAAAATGAAGATCACAAAAGGATCTTGAAAAACTGCTCACAGGTTGTACTTTAAGCCCATATATAGTAATTTATATGCACAATTGTCGCTATTTCCGTGTTGTTTAAAAAAAAATGTATAGCCTGCTATGTTCTTTCCTACATTCTTTCACAGACTTATTCAAGTTTAAACCCAATAAATACATATTATTCAATGCATTACTTCTTATAAATTTAATTAAATGCGTTCATTTAATATTTTCATGTCAATCCGTGTTCAGTTTGACCACGAACCATGCGCTGTCACTTTAATTCAGCGCCTGCAGCACAAACGATCTCTGCAAGACGTGTGCAGTGTAAATAAGGGGTAAATAAGAGGTGAAACAGGTATACATTAACCCATACAATTTGTATTATGCATTTCCTGGACATGTTCTTGCTAACTAATCAAATACTTGAACAGACTACTGATCTATCTGTAAAACACAATTAGAAAGAGCTATATTTTAAGTACACAATTACACATATACTTAATATTTAATAAGCAGGAATAATTTCCGACTTTAAACAAATACCCATTTAAATGCTTAGGATGTTTGCGTTGTAAGACTGTTCAGGGAGACTTTAGATTTAAAGACGGTGTCTCGTTATGCAATGTTTTCTTAGTCAAATCATACAATTTCCTATTGATTCAATAGAACGCGTGAGCTCACTAGGGAATCACAATATGGCGGCGCGGTGGCTTCACTGTTTATGACGTCATGAGCTATCCAGTCATTCTATATAGATCAGTGAGCGCAACTCATTTGTAGATCTACGCCAACACAGGAGAATACATAAATATCTTTCTGAATTTCAAAATGAAATTTAACCATTGAACTGAGTTTGATATGTTTTGACGTGCACATGTTCTTGTTTAAGAAATTACAGCAACTGTTGCATTTCTATCGTACAGAAGTGACCAAATATTAAAGATTAAGTTGATATTTGAATTAAATTTTGTTTGGCCGATATTAAACCAGTATTTGATCATGCCTTCCCACATGGAAAGAACATATATGAGGGTATATGCGCATATGAAACCTATATGCAGTTTATATGCACATATATGCTGCATATATACAGCATATATGCACATACAAGCACGTGCACAGGTAGGGCTCAACCTGTGCAGAGCACATGCCCTTTTTGCTCTTACACTCGAAGTGCCCTTTTTTTTGGTGGTGGTGGTGTTTTTTTTCTTCTTCAATAAATCAATGATATTGCTATTGTTCACCCATTACGTCTGTCTGTCTGTTTTAAAAAATATTTAGCCAATGAAAGAAAAAAGAGCTTGTGTAAATCTTGTTCGATCCTCAAACTGTCAGTAAGCCTGAGAACTCTGCCCCCTCTATCGTGACTGAATGAACTGAAGCTCCGCAGCGGCCGCACAGCAGACAGCAGCTGAACGAAGTTTTGCAAGGGTAAATAAAGATCTTGTTGTTTGAATAAGTACTAAACACTTTGTCTATAAAAGCTCATATTTTATTTATTTGATGTCTGACTGAGACATGTGGGACCTGAGAGAGAGCGGTCTAGGCTAGAATTCTCCATCTAGTCATAGCCAATACATAGAAATAGCCTGTGCATACACTAGCATTTCATCTTTTATAAAATCCGATTTTGGCCAAATGTATTTTACAACAGGAAAAACTGAGCGCCTATATAGCTACAACAAACTTAACCCGTTGATGAAAATGTAACTTAATGTGATGCCGCCGGCGCCGTTTTAATGACGGACAAAATGCACATTTGCACACATTCGCTGATCAAGAACCCCGTATTTGAGTTTGACTTTTGTAAAATGTTAACAATATATTCATAAGTAATACAACAACACATAATTTGTTTTTACCATCGGAAAATCATAAGCACAGGCGCGCCCCCGCGCTGTTTCATACTGAAACTACACAAAGCGACTGAGTGATCCTCGTCGTCACCTAGGTGACATATAATTCTAAGAAATGTTCTTCTTTGAATTATGATTGCTGATACACTTAATTTATTAACATTTCATCTTATGGTAATAATATTAAATTATGGTTAATTCAAGGTTGTGATGCACGTATTCACTACATATCAACATTTGATTTATGTTTTGCCAGCGTACATCACCTGCCCAGAGTGCTAGAAGTTGTCGTTTGGAAGGTTTGATTTAAGTTTAATTTTCTTTTGTTTGTTGACAAACGGCCACTACAACAAGTAAAAAACCCGCTCATTGATTAAAGAAAGAAGAAGAACTTTCCTTGGAATTCGCTTCGGATATTATTGGGATACCCGATGGAAAATCAGTATGGATCGTTTTATTTACCATTTGTGGATTATCTGCTGGCATGAGACAGAGGCCTTGCCCGAGCTAAGAAATCTCCAGTTGGTATGTACTGCAAGAAATGCCGTATAGGAAAACGGTTTCATGAAGAGGTACGTGATCTTGAACTGCTTTAATTGGCTGTGCGCTTGTTGAATTAACAACCCCCCGGGTGGCCTATACATTCATAAAAGGGTAAAGCCAGTGCTGTGTGTGCTTGTGTGGATGAAGAGGATTTGTTGTATAAAACAAAGATGTTTCGATAAAGATCGCCATCTTTGCTAACCTTGTTGCCCGATTGTGAACATTCACTGACATTGTCAACAATTAGGCTACAAGTTTGCAACAAAATGACTGATGTGGAGAGGCCGGAATCAAAGCGGTCAATCAAATTGACTTCTAAAGGAATGTGCTTTTACATACAAACTTGTCAAGAAAAACGCACTGCAAAAACTAAACAGGCTAAAAAACTTATGGATAAAATCTGTGCCTTAATGGAATTAAATGAAAATGCCGATGTAGTGAACACTCAGCTTGCTTTGTTCATTAAGTGTTATGAAGAAGCACTCGATATACATGAAACATTTATGGAATTGCCTCTACCAGAAGATGAAATACTCACCACTAAAACTAAAACCTTTGAGGAGAAGATGAAATCATGTCATGCATTTATTGAAGATGTGAAGGAGTGGCTGTCTAAAGCTGGTTATCCATACTCGCAGCCAAAAGAACCTATCGACGCAGGATGCATTGATGATGGAATACAACCTGCAGATAGTATTTCTAACGTCTTAAGTGTAAGAGCAAGTTCTGTAAAATCACGCGCCACCGGCATATCAAGGATTTCTGCAACATCCACGGCGTGCATTAATGCGGAGGCCGAGAGAGCAGCTCTTCTTAAACGCTCCGAAGCTTTAAAAAGGAAACATCATATAGAAGCACAGGAAGAAAAGCTTCGTAGAGAAAAAGAGCAATTGGCGCTTGAAACAGATTTGGCAGCTACAACTGCAAGGCTTCAGGTTTTTGAAATGAACTCATCACAGTGCGGTTCAAGACGATCTGATGGAATGAACTCTTATTTGGAGAGGAGCAAAGCTCAAAGATCCATCGGTTTAGATCCTCTTGTCAAAGCTTTTGTCCCACATGAAAATGATGTTCTTGCTGTACCTGATCCTGCAACAGTTGTTAGGCCAAGACAAGGATTTGCTGAGCAAATGTATGGAAGGCCGTTTGGGCCAGAAGCTCCGTATCAAGAAGTACAGACTGCAAATGGACGTCAAATGGGACATATGTTAAACTCTCAAACTCAAAGCGGTAACAACCAAAATGACATGGTGGGCATTATGCAAAAACAAAACTAAATCACTGCACTGTTGGTTCAGCAAAATATATCCTCTGTTCTTCCTCCAATAAATCTGCAAGTATTTGATGGAGACCCTCTTCAATATAAATCCTTCTTTAGAGCCTTTGAAAATGTAGTGGAGAAGAAAACGAATAATCCCAGCGACTGTTTGAGCTTCCTTGAACAATACACTAGGGGGCAGCCAAAGGATCTTGTGCATAGTTGTCAGCATATACCTCCAGATCAAGGCTATCACAGAGCCAAGAGTCTTCTTGCTCAGCACTTTGGAGATGAACATAAAATTGCATCTGCCTACATGGAAAAAATATTCAACTGGACACCCGTTAAAGGTGAAGATGTAAAAGGATTACAATCATTCTCTCTGTTTCTCCGAGGATGTTCAAACCTAACAGAACAAGTAATGTAAATGAGGGAACTGGACTTACCAGCTAACATGCAGAGTATCATTTTAAAACTTCCTTACAAACTAAGAGAAAAATGGAGGAATATTGCATGTGATCTGCAAGAAAGAAGTGGACAGAGGGCTACATTC